ATTTAGATGTTGATTATTATTACTCATTTTTTTTTCAAATAAAATTCCTTTTTTTTCCCAAAAAAAAAATTCTTGAGAAAAAAAAAAATTTTAATATATTAAATATAGAAATATAGGTGTGAATTTTTTTTAAACGGATTTTATTGATAAAACTTTCCACAATTAACGTGAGACAAAATAGAACTTTAGTATATTTAGTATAACAAACAAAAACCAACCATCGTTGTCTACCTACTTAGTTTAGCGATATAATTAGATAAGAAATAAATAAATATTAAATGGTCAATTTTTCAAGTTACAAAACTTGACATAAAATGGAAGACTTGAATAGGAAACAATAGTCACCCTGTGAACAAAATCCAATGCGGGGTGTGATGCGCTAACCAAATACGGAAAATATCATCAGATTTTTGCAAAAAATTATCAAGTTTGTGTAAATAACGCAGTCGAATGTTAATACGCCAGCGTGAACCAAAATAATTTTATAATTAAAGTCTGTCAATGTTTTCCATTTACGAGATATCTTAATAATAATAAAAATTTAATCAGTCTTTATTGACAAATTTCTTTATTAATTTAAGTAATTTATTTCATTAAAAATTAATAAAATAAAAAATTGAGAATGACCGAATCTTTAAAAAATTCACTTGATATTCGTGTTGTAGTTTCTATCGGTAAGCTTTAAAATATTATGTTTTTTTAGCGTGCGAAAAATATCATTAGATTGATAAATAAATTATGTCCATTAATAATTACTATTGTTTGTTAAACACACTTGGATAGACTTTGGCACAACCTTCTCGGTGAGTCGACGATCGCTTTAGTTTATTTATTTATTTTATTTATTTATTTTTGTAAAGAGATTATTTTAATAATTATATATATATATATATATATTGATATTATTATCATTATGAAGGGATATGGTTATGCACATAAAGCAAACCCTTTTGAAATCATCACAAATGATAATTGGCCACAAAATACTGGTCAATTCAAAACCCCAACAGTACTAAAATATGATGAATCTTTTAAAGTTTTGAATTGGGGTCTTCCTGCATTAGCTGAAAAACCTAGCAAAAAGAAAAAGTCTACTAAAGCCGTGACAACAGAGCTTTTCAAACTTCATCTTGCCAAAATGACAGATAAACCACCTTTACCAGATAAATTACATCATAAACAAGCCATAACAGACTATCTATCTCAACTTAACAAATCAATTAAAGAAACAATAGATAGCAGATGGCAAAATATCGATTTCTTTGATAATGTTTTACTTATTTTAACGGTACGAACTTAAAAAATCTTTGTATGTGTATGTGTTATATTAATAAGAGTGTATATATATATTGTTTAGATTCCTGCAGAGTTTGATGATAGTGCTATTGCAACATTGAGAGAATGTGCTTATAAGACTGGATTATTGAATAATAAATCGTCAAAGAATTTAATATTCACCACAGAACGTATGTAAATCATAATATTGTGTTTTTAATATATATATATATATATATGTTTTTTAATGATAAATAAATATTTTCCGTATTTAGCTGAAGCCGCAGCAATTTATTGTATGAAAGTTCTTAAAGAACATAAATTAGAAGTGGGAGGTTTGTAATCTATAAACAATAATGCCATTTTATTTAAACGTACATCTATGCGTGCATGTATGCATAGATAGATAGATACATATATAAATGATATATATGTGAATTAAAAAGAATTAAAATAACATTTGATAATTTAATTTATTAGCTTCATTTATGGTTGTTGATTGTGGAGGAGGTACAGTAGACTTGA